TTACTAGTTGAGGCTTGCAATCAAAGCCCATGTGCTAGTATACTTCTTGGTCAAATGTACTTTCAACAATAGCGACAACACCCAAATACTTGAAGAACTCCAACCCACTTAGACTTTGCATGTATATGGATCCTCCAACATGAAGGGGAGTGGAGTTGGCATCATCTAATTAACCTTGAACCATAACAAAGTGGAATATGCACTTTGGTTTGGTTTCCCCACCTCAAACAATGAGATTGATACGAAGCCTTACTAGTCAAACTACACTTGGCCAAGGATTTGGGAGAAGAACAAGTCAAGGCCTTCAATGACATACAACTAGTTGTAAATCAGGTGAATGGAGAATATGATGCTAGAGAACCTACCATGGCCAAGTACTTGAGCAAAGACTAAGAGCTAATTGGACAGTTTTAGTGTTTCACTCTACAATAAGTGCCACGGTCAGAGAATGCTTGAGTCGATGCCCTCTCTAAGTTCGCCAACTCCTTGGGGTTGAACCTCGACCACACTATGCATATTGAAGAGTGGCTTGCCTTAGTATTGAAGAGAAATTGGTGTGCCCAATCCAAACGGACCTATGCTAGATATACCCCATGCTCGCCTTCCTATGCTACAAATAGTTGCCCAAAAACAGGAATGGACACATGAGGATTACATGTAAATCGGTTTGGTACACACTACTCAAAGATAAGCTTTACCAAAGATCCTTCATACTGACCTACTTGAGATGCTTATGTATATACGAAGGGAATTACATCCTCAAGGAAATACATGAAGGCCTCTATGGCAATCATCTTGGGGACAAACCCCTAGTACAAAAGGCAGACAATGATACTTTTGGCCTAAGATGAAGGAGGATGCAGGCCAATATTGTCTAGAAATGTAACCAATGCCACCAACACTTGAATGTGCCCCCTTAGCCAACCAAAACACTCATCTCCATCAATGGTCCATGGCCTTTCCACATAGTGGGGGATAGATATACTCGGCCCCTTCCCTCTTGCAACGGGTTAGAGGAAACACTTGATTGTGACAATCGAGTAATCGACTATTTCACCAAGTGGGTGGAAGCTGAGCCTCTTGGAGTCATTACGACAAGGAATATACAAAACTTATTCTAGAATAACATCATTTTCAGCTTCAGCGTACTAGTCACCGATAATGACCAATAGTTCAATGGTTCCAAGTTTATGAAGTTTTGTAAAAACTTGGGGATAGTGCAATGGTTCACCTCGGTCATCTATCCTCAGAATGACAGCTTGGCCAAGGTGACCAATAGGATCTTCCTTTATGGCTTGAAAACCATACTAAACAGAGCTAAAGGTTTATGGGCAGATGTACTCCCCAGTGTGCTATGGGCTTACCAAACTACACATCAAACAACAACAGGTGAAACCCCTTTCAGCCTTGTCTTTGGCACAAAGGCAGTCATCCCAATAGAGATTGGTTAGTTGATGCTTTAGACTGAGGCTTATGACGAGGCTGAGAATAATGAAGAGATTCAGTGCAACCTTGACTTATTGGAAGGTGTCCAAGAACAAGCCTAGATCATAGTTGCACTAGTAGGTGGTAGTTTGATATTACAACTCCTAGGTTAAAAAATTCCAATTCAAGGAATGTGAAATCGTCTTCAAGAAAGTCACCGTTCCTGAACCTGGCACGGGAAAACCCAGGGTGATACTAGGAACGTATTGGCTCGAACACTTCAATGAAATATCAGTGCCTCATACTTGGAACTTAGAAAACCTCTGGATGTATAACCATTGATGTAAGCCAATGTACTCAAATTCAATAAAAATGCAAATGCTCCTTTTCACCATTCTTTTGTCTTTGTACTTTTAGTTACTTTGTAATTCCTATGGGTACTACATGACCTTAGCCTCGGCCATAGGTATACAACTTTAAGTGGTTACATGTCCAATGGGTCACCTCAACCGAGCAAAGGACTTTGGGACCTTTTTATTACTAAGGTGTTAAAATTATTAGGAGTTAAATAGTCCTCAACTATTAACGAGAACTAAGCAAGTAGGGAAGGGGCTCGGGAAGCCGATGCCATATACCCCTATGAGCAACATAAGTCTAATACTCACCACAATCAAATAACATTATACAACTATACTTATCCAAAAATTCAATTTCATTGAGTTCTTTGTGCTTTACAAGTGTAAAAAAAGGGCACCTCAGCCCCTAAAAAATCCAAAACAAAATTTAGAAAAAGACATAGGATAAGAACATGGGTGAAAAGAGCCCTCGACACAAGAAGAAGAAAATCAATATGGCACATGAGCCTAACAACATCCCTAAAGAAAAACTAAGACCGAGCATTAGCTAGCACTTGCCTCTGACACAGTCAGAACCCCTCTAAGAAAGACTTACCCGCGAAGTTAGCTAGATCCTTCTTGTATTCATTATTGTTACAATGCCCAACAAATGCCAAGGCCAGGTGCAACATGAACAAGTCAGGATGCAACAAGGGATTAAAACAAGCTAACTAGCCAAATAGGGAAAGTGAAGCACTCACTTCAATTATCTTGTCCAACAACATTCCTCGAATGGTTGAAGGTGAGTCCGAGTCAAAGTCTGACGGTCGTTAGGAAGCATGATCCCCATGGTTAGCTGCTGATTGATGCCTTCTATGGAGATTGTGTCCCTCTCCTTTACAAACCAAGTAGGGTGGAAGGGAGTTTGGTGAATCAGTGGTTCATTGTCTTCATATTTCAATGACGTGGTCAGAATTATAGAAATGGTTGCTTAATGACAGGCCGGAGGAAGGGTCGCAACCCCATGAGCTGGCAGTAACAACCACTTTCTTATAGGGCCTTTTGTTTCCTCCCCCATTGGTGGGCCTTTTCATCGCCACTACCTTCTTCTAAATGGTCTCGACCTCGGATCCCTTCTTCACGGCCTTCACCTTCTTGACCACAACTTCCTTCTTTGTTGCTTGAGCCAACATCTTCTTTTGGGAAACATCCATCTTTGCAAAAGAAAAAACAAGTTAGCAAGTAGACTTAACAAATATCAGTCAACAACTAGTAAAGGCCTCTTCCTGCCTGCCCTGAGGTGGTTCAATAGCACATCCCCTTCACTGGAGCAAGGTTGTTTTATCTTCTCCGCTAATGTGTCTCGGACACCCTAGCTTGAGTTGAAAAACCAACCATTGGGACAAGACAAGAAAAAAAAACCTTGGACTTCTAGTTATGAATGGACGACGGGAAGCCATCATCTTCCCCCATTGGCCTTGGGAATACCACCATCCCTCGCCATAAGGATGTTTCCTCAACATGAACATGTTTCTAAATATATTCACCATCAACGAGACCTCTCAGCGATGAGCCAACACGGGGGTGGTGATGATGGTCCTAACGGCATTTGGAGCAAACTGGCTGTGGGTGATCTTATAGTGTCTAAAGAGAGCTGGGATGAGGGGATGCAGAGGAAATTAGAGCCTAAAGGATGGTACCTTTGGTAGAGCCTCTCTATGTCTGCAAGATGAAGGATGCAGTTTAGCTCCGATTGCACTACTTTGATGCCCTCACCCTTGGCCTGGCTATTCTTAGCATCAGTCAATCCCTTTCCTTTTTGCCTTACAAGTCTACTACTAGAACTTGGCTGGGAGTGTCACCCCTCTTAGCGCTCAGGTGGTCGACCTTGTGCTCTCCTCAATTGACAAGCTAGATTGCTAGAAGTTTGGTCACCCTCCTCTGTAGGACCTCCACCTCTGGAGGCCGAGAGGAGCTCTCATAATCAGAGCTAGACTCACAGGTTATGGAATAATTGAATAAGATTGACTAGGTGGGATCATATCAAGAAGGTCATAAGGCTCCTAACCGGAATCGAAAGTAGACATGATCAAGGACAGGATCTTACCAAATGAGGTAGAAGAATGGTGACTTTGAGAATATGAATGCAAGAAGACTGGCTAAGGTGGTCTAGTAGCTCCAAAGCGATAATACAAACACAAATGATGGGTTTCCAGTCCCTTGACCCCTTCTTTTATAGGAAAACAGATGATCAAAATCTTTTGCATCCAACGGTCACCATTGCCTCAGTTCAACTGCCCGCGCCGTTTACCAACACGTGGCATCGGCCTTTATAACCGAAATGACCCATGATGTCTAACCGTGGTTCACCTCCACTCATTGGGTTAGATCCCCTCGAATTGGCACTTCTACTTGTGCCGGACTGCGACCTTTACTAACAAACGAAGATATGATGTAATGTCAGGCACAACCACCAACTCTCTCTACTCCCTTCGCCTGAATCGAGGTCTATACTAATCACCTTGGCCTAAGCCTTGGGAGTGGGGGCAAGTGATAGGAGTAATAATGACCACTCAACCAATGGATGAAACGTGGTACGCCTTAGGATAGTCTTGTTTGAGTGCCTTTTTGTGCTAAGGCCCTATTAGGGGGCACCATCGTCCTTTCCAGTCCTCATTAATGTGGAGCCCTCATTGCGTGTGTTACGGTCTTGGCCAAGCCCTTCCTAATGCATTTATGACGGGCACGTGGATCATGCCTTAATTAACTCTTACGATTATGGTGCCCAACATATAGAGGGCCCTTACGGTTTTGGCACTAGAGCGACACCAACTATATAAGGGACTCCATGGCCACAGGTACTTATTTTACACTATCTAAAATTCTAACAACTCTGACCTCAATCTCCTTGGGCCCTTAACTAGTTTGACGGTTGGAGTCTCCACCCTTGGGATCACATCTTAGAAACTTTGACATCTTTTAAATGATCACACGTGGGACCTTTGGTCTCATCACCTCCGAAGTGACAAAGTTGCCTTTGCCTCCATATTTGGCACATGATATACCAAATATACAAATGGTCATAGCTTTAAAAATAAAGGAAAATTAGTGCAATGACTTCGGTGACTTCACTCCACAATCTTTACTTTTATAGGAAATTAAAATTGTATGGTTTTAGTAATTTTCCAAAAAAAAAAAAAATGATTGTGAACTTTTCTAGTTTTCTAATAATCCCGCTCACGAGTCATGCCAATATTCCCTTTCGCCACATTTCTACCGGCGCAAGTTAGTAACAGTCTTTCTCTCCCGTTTATGTTTGGCCTCATATAATACCGGCACGGCCATACCTTGTTTATGTCAGAAGAGAACTCGCTCTATCTCTCTCATGGAAATCTTCTCTGCAAACCCTAGATCTTTTAAGATAGATAGGCGGTCTCCGCTGGCATCGAAGCTCAAAGTCTCTGTTTCAGAAAAGCTCCTTGAATTTCTCGGGAATTACACGGACGACGTCCTCGCTGTAAATTTCTTCGAAACCTGTTTGTCTGAATGCCTACAACAAGTTCTATCAACATTTTGATATATTCTTCGATTTTCCACTTGGGAGTTTATTTTTTTGCCTGGTTTTTATATATTTGTATGTTATCGATAAGTGATTGAATTCAGAAAGCAATAGTATATGCCGGAAATGTAATTTGGTCCATCGTTTCTCATTATTGTCTCTTTACTGAATGGCTAACTTCACCTGGTGGCTGTGAAGTATTGGCTCCCTATTAATACAGCTATATTATGGTATGGTTTAGAGATGCTTTGTGTGCACGAGTAACGCGTTCTCGTGTACTTCCTCGTTAAGTTGGATAAATTAATTCATTGTGAGCATCTTTAAGGAATTGCAAGTTTGAAGTAAAACCACACAAATAAAATGATGATGGGATTTAGTTCTGTTAGTCGGCATACATGTTGAAACTCAAATGACATGCCAAAGTATCAAGGTTTCCTATACTGATTAAAAAAAAATTCAAGGTTTGCTAATTTGAACTCCTAGCCTATGTTTCGTTTTATATGCATGGTTTTGTTTTATTTCATTTTTTTTTTTCTGGAGAAGAGAATGGCGTTATAAGTAAATGCCTTGGAGGTTTAATAAATATCCTTTCCTTATAAATAAAAAAAAATCCTTTCCTTACTATTCTGGAGATGGTGAACTTTCCAGTAAAGGTGCCAACCGGTATCAGAAATGTCACTAACAAATTTTAGGTGCTGGACTATCGATAGTACTCTTTCAACCTAATTAAACAGGGAGGCAATCATTCTCCATGATTTAAAGGGAGATTAACAGGGAAATGCCTTTATCAGTTTATCTATGGCCAATGTCTTTATAAAGGCTGGTTTATAGTCATGCAAAGAAGATAATTGTGGTTCCGAAGTAAAGGGTTCATACAGTAAGTTGCAATACTGGTCGAAATGAATCTAACTGTATATGAAATTCTATGAAAAAGGGTGCTTTAAAAAGCAGCTAGATGTTCCTAGTTTGTTAATTGGATATCATAATATAATAAAAATAGTGACCCAGACTGTATGAAGTTCATCCTCATTATCTTTGTTGGTGCACTGGTTAGTTATTCTTTTTTGTTTTTTGGTTGAACATTGACGTTCTTCTTGCTCTTACAAGATTTATGTTCATTTTAGTGTTAGTTGGTTTCAGTTCCTCATATGCTCTATCTTTATTCCGTGCCTGCTTATGCTTCCTATCTCAGTAGATGGAATGCAATCTCTTTGATGGTTGGATGATTACTTTTTGAAAAAAAGCAGCAAGTCTGCAGGTTTCAAAGTCCATGACCTGGCCCAGATACACAGGGCCTGAACTGAGACCATGTGCAACTGGTTCCAATAAATTGTGGATTGCAAATGGAAAAGGTTCCCTAATATATTATGTGTTTTCTTTCTTAGTTTTTCCATAAAACACTTGCTATTCATTTATGAATTTCATTTTTGTTACAAAGTCAGGGAGCGAAGAGTTTCTCTTTACATGTAAAATTGAGATGAGTTGCTGCTCCAGGTTTTTCAAGGCACTGAAACATTAGGAGTTTGGATGTTTACAATTAACACTAGCAATTGGAATGGATTGTAGTTACTGGCATTTGAT